TCCGGCCGCTCTCGTCCGTGCTCGGGCGGGTGTGGGCCCCGTACAGCGATCCAGTACCCGCGGGCGCCGTTTTGGGTCCAGCTCTGCAGGGAGACGTCCTGGAAGATCTCGTCGCGCAGCCAGCCCGTCCGCCTCGGGTCCCGGCGGCGGTTGTGGGTTTTCGCTAGATGCCGCGTAATGAGATCGGCGCTGGTAGTCCGGTAGGCGCAGTGACGGCAGGCGACGCCAGTACAAGAAGCCAGATCCGGGTGAGCCGGCGACCAGTCGGGGCGGAGGGGGAGCGTGTTTGGATCCGGAAGAGATAGGGAGCGGATGAAGAAGAAGAGGCCGTCCCGCAAGTGCTTCGGGATGGCATGCTTGTCGGCGAGATGGCGTGTCACGCAGTCGCCATTTGGCTGCAAGGCGTAACCACATGGGCGGCAGATCAACGCGCGCTCAGGAGTATTTACGACCAAGCCGACTGCAGCAAGGCGGCGGTCGCGCTCCTCCTCTTGCAGATGAGACCAGCGGCAACGGAGCGGCGGCAAGGCAGGCGCTAACTGGTTGGCCGTCATAGTAGGGGATCCAAAGCGGGGAGAGTTCCTTTTTACTTATGGATGCTTTCCCTCAGAGATAACGACTTGTGAGAGAAAACACGCAAGGTGAAAACGCACGCAAGGTGAAAGCACACAAGACCGAGAAGTGGACTGCGAACGCGTCTCGACACAAGACCAAGAAAGTGGCCTGGGAACGCGTCTCGTCCGGCCTTTCCCCTTTTTGGCATGCTCTTTCCCTCTTCGGCATGCCCAAGCTCATTCAGCGAATCAGAAAGCATAGCGGTCGGAGTTCGTCGAGGTGGCAGGGGTCGTGATAAGGTCCGATAGGAATGCGTCTAGGAGTACCGGATCGGGACCGTAGCGCGTCGAGGTCGAGTGGAGAGCGGTGGAGCAGAGTGGAGAGGGGACCAGGGGATGTGACGAATGAGGTGGCGTGAAAACGGAGAACGCGTCGGGTTCTGGGTGCGTATCCTAGAGTAGGCTGTCCAAATGGCCACTTTCTATATTGTCACATTGTGGAACGCAAACAATCGTGGACCGATGTCTGTTCCTCGCCTTGGGTTGGCAACGTCCTGCCCCCGCATAGGTTACAGCCTGCCCCGTTTGGGGAAAAAGCAAACGTATGCTCGCACGTCAATGGGGAGGTCTGGGCGTCGAACCGTGGCACCCCATCAACTCCCACGCCGAACTTGGGATTCATTTCCCCCCTTCAATAATGGACTGATAAAAAAACAAATCACACCGCTAATGGCGCCTCAATTTCAGCATTCAACTGGTACTAATTTTATTGGGTTTGTCGTCGAAAACCGCTATGATCTTGACTCCCTATTTTTCTATGATCATGACTCCCTGTCTTTCCTAGCGCCGTTTAAGTTTGTATGGGCTTCTCCATGACCTTGAGTCATGATCATCGCCTTTTAGCGGATATTAGGGCCGCTGGTGTCTCACCCGCACCCGCACCCGCCCCTGCAGTCGAATAGAAGTTGATCTTCTCGTGCCCTCGGAAGCTGACTCAAAGTCTAATGCCGTTCGGCCGCCGCTCAACTGAACAGGGCCGGCATTGACGTTAGCTCCCTAGTGGGCATTTAGACCTACCTACTCCTTATGCCCCATTGAGCGGCCTCCCCTTTGGGTAGGGTTGCCGATATCAAGGCTGCTCATATCACAGCACCTTCCATACACAGACGAGTAAATTCACGATCCCGCTTCTATAGCTTGCGATGTAGCGGGTTGGATGAAATTGGTTACCCATTGCCCTTATTCTCCCCCTTCTTGACGTTGGGCTCGGTGGACGGCCCGGCAAGGGAGGCGTGGTTAGCCTAGCCGTCCGGCGTGGTCGCCCCCTCGGTGGCTCGTTCAACCCGTCGCGTTCGTGCTCATCGCTAGTGCTATCTCTGTCGTCTGACCAGTAGCCATCGCCGCCATCAACGCGGCCGTCGCCCTGGGTCGAAAGCGACCTCTTCTTTGGGCTGACACTCCGGCTCTGGGATCGTGTGGACTCAAACACCTGTGCACTAGACTTGACAGGTAGTCCTCTCAGGGTTATAGTTTCGGTCTCGCCTCTGGTCTTGTCCCACAGGCAAACGACGTATTTGAGATCCGACAGGAAAAAAAGCATCTGTTCATCCGTAAATAGGGACCAGGCAAAGCGTGCGAAGAGGCACTCGACGCTGATACCGCGGATCAGCTGGGTTGAGCGGTTGTGATATATACCCACGTGGTCGGGCGAGCCCGACGGCAGCAGCACGTGGGTGACAAAGTTCGGCAGATTCAGACATGCATGCGCCGAATCGCTTGGGCACGAAGGTGAAGCGCCGTGCATCGAAGAGATGATGCAGGTCCTTACTGGGGATCAGGATGTTTTCCATCGTCGTTGATCGCTGCTACTTCTAGTGGTCGCCGGCAGTACCTACAAGCGACTAATTGTCAGCTTTCGTCCCTAGGGAAAGTACAACGCAGCACGAAACCTTACCTATCCATTCTGTTTGACACAAACCAAAGCCTTTCTCCCTCCGGAACGAGGTGTGCCTTCTCAACGGCATCTATATAGCCAGACACCCGGGAAGTAATATCACGTTCCATTGCCGCCGTAGGCCCCTTGAAATGTATTTGTCCTCCCACACCTTTCTTGTAGAACATTATCAAAAGATAAGAGTGAAAGAGCAGGAGTTCGGAAAAAGACTAGAAAGTTGAAAAACAAAAGGGTACTTCTACTAAACCGGGCTGCTGTCTGTGAACATAAAGATCAAGATGCGGCCCGAAGAACAGCCGATTGACACAGCGGTTCCAGATATAGCGGAAGAGGATGGCCGATGCTCTGCCGGCAACCACAGCAGATTTTTTCCTTGATACGTGATCCAAGTACAGTTGCTGCTCAAGCCATATCCAACATCAATTGGCGACAAACAATCAAGGGAAGCGGGACCTAAGACCATAGAAACTCTGGCGTTTCGCAAGTCGAATGTACCAAACTCTGTACGTAAAAGGTCAGAATTAGATTCATGAAACTGGAGAGTACGACAGATGCGACCGATCTTGAGTGTCGAAACGCACTGGCTGGTTGCCGGATCCCAGATCTTGATTGTCTCGTCTTGTGAATTCGACGCCAGCCGGGTCGCATCGTGCGACCAGGCCACCGACAGGACGGCGCCGCGATGGCTCTCGAGTGTAGACACGCACTGGCCGGTCGCTGGATCCCAGATCTTGACTGTCTCGTCGACTGACGCCGACGCCAGCCGGGTCGCATCATGCGACCATGCAACGGAGTTGACCCAGCTGCTATGGCCCTCAAACGTCGATACGCATCGGCTGGTTGCGGGATCCCAAATCTTGACTGTGTCGTCGTCTGATGCCGACGCCAGCCGGGTCCTATCATAAGACCATGCAACTGAATTGACAGTGTCGCGATGGTCCTCGCGCATCCACACGCACTGGCTGTTCGCCGGGTCCCAGATCTTGACTGTCTTGTCGTATGATGCTGACGCCAGTCGGCTCGCATCGTGCGACCATGCCGCCAAGTAGACAGGGTCGCGGTGGCCCTCAAGGGTCGACACGCACTGGCTGGTCGCCGGATCCCAGATCTTGACTGTCTTATCGTCAGATGCCGATGCCAGCCGGCTCGCATCGTGCGACCAGGCTACTGACAGGACGCCGCCGCGATGGTCCTCGAGGGTCGACACGCACTGGCCGGTCACCAGATTCCATATCTTGACTGTCCCGTCGTCTGAAGCCGACGCCAGCCGGGCCGAACCATGCGACCAGACCACCGACAGGACGCCGCCCCGATGGCCCTCTAGCGTTGACACGCACTGGCCGGTCACCGGATCCCAGATCTTGATTGTCATGTCGTCTGATGCCGACGCCAGCCGGGCCGAATCATGCGACCAGATCACCGACAGGACGCCGCCGCGATGGCCCCCAAAGGTCGACACGCACTGGCCGGTCGTGGGATCCCAGATCTTGACTGTCTCGTCATCTGACGCCGACGCCAGCCGGGTCGCATCATGCGACCATGCAACCGAGATGACCCAACTGCTATGGCCCTCAAATGTCGACACGCACTGGCCGGTTGCCGGATCCCAGACCTTGACTGTTTTGTCCCTTGACGCAGATGCTAGTCGGGTTGCATCGTGCGACCAGGCCACTGACCAAACATAATCGCTATGGCCCTCGAGCGTTTGTAAGCATGCGCTCCAATTGTCCGCCATAATCGGTTTTCGAATGATCCATTTAGGCTCCTCATTTTTGTACTGATTCCTCGTTATGCTGTGGGCCGGGCTGAATACAAGTGCAGAAGCGTACACCTGAAGAGGGCTGTTTTCAATTCCCCATTTGTGGTAGAGTATAAATCGATAAACATCTCGGACTCGATCAATAAGTGATGTTCCTATCTACTGAATTGTTAGCGCGTAACTCCTAGATTGCACCTCTGACAGCTAACCTCAACCAAACCCTCAAGGCCCAGCACTGAAGCTACTCCTTCTGATATACCTTTCTGAAGGCTAAGTGCCTCGAGCCAATGGAGACACTTCTCGCGAAAAAAGGCGTCGATCGATCCGCCATCCTGAAGCTCCTTGTTCGCGTTCTTCATAGGATCACAATCACGAAAATGGTTAATCCAATATACGCACGAGTACCGCACTGCGGCTAGTGGATCTGGATCGGGTGGTCTGACGTTGTCGATGGAAAACCCAGGAGCGCCAAGGTTGTAGATGTCGCGTCGTAATGTTTTCCGCATAACTCGAAGCGATTGCGAGAAGATGGTATAGTGTATACCTTCTATCCTGGAAGGGAAGATCACATCACACGCCTGTTTGAGCAGAAAGTCCCTGGCGGACTGATGGACGAAAGATATAGTGCGTTCGCGAAGTGTCAGAAAAGAGCCGCAAAGCCCTACGATCTCTGTTAAATCTTCGTAGTTACCAGAGATATCGTCAAGCGCATCGACGAGGGCCGTTAGTTCGTCCAATGTGATAGGCTGGTACACGACCGAGATTATGGCGAGTATGTCTTTGCAAAGTACAGCATCTTCTGATTGGCAGATCTGGTCCATCATCCGTCCGTAGAGTGCATCGAGCCCAGGCGGAAACACAGCCAACTTCTTTTGAGCCTTCCATCCCGGGGTAGTGGCGAGTTCCTGGCAGACTAAGGCCACCCAGAGGAAAGTGCCGTGTGCGTTCGCAGACAAGTCGCGCTCGACAGCATCCCGCGTGTCATTGCTGTATTTATTTCGCTTCGCCAACACCTCCACCTTGAACCGGACGTATGTCGTGACAGCTGCGGAGACGGATTCTTCATTCAGCTCGAGACGCAGGTTTACTTTCTCCCTCGCGGTGTCAAGATCCTTCTCGATGCTCGGCCAGTTGCGGCTGGATACTAACCACTTGACGCCTGAGTATTCTGACGACTTCTGTGCGACAAGGCCAAGGAGCCGGTCCGGGTCTCCAATGCACTCGTCGAGCGCGTCAATGATGAGGTAGGTTTTCTGTGAACGCGCGTCTTCGAGATCTTCAAGAATGCTGGTGAAGATCTTCGATAGTGCCACCCATGCATTTGGGCCTTCGAAGCGCTGTTTCCCGAACCCGTCGTAGCTTTTGCGCAGGTGCGAAATGAGTGTCGGCTGCTGGTTCACAAGCATGTAGATCAACCCACGTAGGACCGCTGTAGCGTTGTTGATGCGAGCGTCCGTCGCCTGACAGAAGAAGAACGAGATGTTGGCCGTGGGAGCAGTGGTCTTCAGCTCATCGATGATTCCGCAGAGCAACATTGTTTTGCCTTTGCCAGGATCGCCTCTGATCCAGAGCAACTGGCCATCACCGCCGTCACGCCATCGTTGGAAATCTATATGGCTGAGGACCCAGTGGTACGAGTCTCTGAGGAGGCCACCTTTATCTGACTCGATACGGTCCTTGTCGTCGCCGGGATCGGTCACTCGTAAGTCTGTCAAGCACTTCTTATCTTCCTCGCTGAACGATGTATGATCGGGGCCGCGGTCTGACGTATATCGTGATTAGCATGATTGATGGCGACTACAATCATGAATTCTAAGCGGGAATATAAGGCTAACCTTTCCGAAGTAACTCAAGACTACGCTTGACTTCAGCGGCGATACTCCTTAAAACTAGCTGGCACGTAGGACTGTCGCTGGAGTCGAACTTGCAGATAGCGCTATGGTCAGCGTCTATAGCCACCTGCTTCTCAACCGACCCTGGGAGATTCAGCGTTCCTGAATCCTTATCTACAATCTGACAAAATTAGCAAAGCATCTCCCTCTTAGATTATCGAATAAACATACGACGTCTGCTTTATGATACCGCCTCCCCTCGAAGAAGCTAACGACAAGAGTTGTCTCAAAAAGGTGGCGGGCTTGCTCAAATCGTTTTGTCGCCTCATCTGAGTTCCGCTTAAGTGCGTTCGTAAGGTCATTGGGACCCGTTCTCAGAGCCTTCGTGAATAACTTGGCTGCGACGTCGCCCACACTGGCGTAGTTCCCGCCTCGATGCGGTGTAGCAAAGAAGACGAGGAGGCATGTTGCTTCAAGTATTGACTTGTATGACTCGTCCAACTTCGCTTCGACGAGTGCCTATCCGACCGTGATTAGGGGAATCCCGGAAGTTGGCTGAGCATCCTACTGACTTGTTTGACAACCAGGCCGCCAAGGCTATGGCAGATAAAAACTATCGGCCTTTCCGGCACATCCTATAGTTCGTCAGGACAAGAAATATGCCGAAGAACGCAAACAGGACAGCTTACGCCTCGCTCAAGGCTGAGCCATTGTAAAAGGTTCCTTGCGTGGTCGTCGAGTCTAAGGGCCGATGCGCCAAAAGCCGGGCTAGAGTTATACGCAAAGAGCATCACACGAGCCGGCTTCGGAAGGTAGGCCGGGAGAAAGTCTTTGAGCCAGAGTTTGCCGCCTTTGGTCCACGTTTCCTGCGCGTGATTGGGATCGCCCATGAAGTTAAGACCGTGGACCGCCACAACGCTAGTAGAATGGCCTGTCAGCGGGATTAACAGCCGGACACGGAGGTACGTACTCAGTTTCCGCAACACAGGGAGGCTGGCCATCGCGAGCGCTGTCAAAGATAACATGGAGCCCAGTCCCGAGCATTGGGAGTATATTATCCGCTTGGTCCTCGAGCCGACCGGTTGTGGCGGAGTGCTCTCCGGCGTTCGCCGCTCGGTAACCGGCCACTGCCTGCGGTAGCCTCGCAATGTTGCCTGTAGTGTTGCTTAAAGATATATGTGATGCGCCGTCCGAAGGTACAGGCGGTGCTTCCGGAGGAAGGGAGGTTGAGGCACCTGCTGTCGATTGTAAGACGGGAGGAGATGCCGTGATCGGTAGGGTCGTATGCCCGGGACTGAGGATAGCATTTACTAGAGCGTGTCAGCAAGCAGAAAAAAAGCTTGTCGCTGCTTAGTACCTTGTGAGAAACCCGCTGACGAGGGAATTTCATCGAGCTTGGGAGAACCATCGTGTGTCGTGGACTTCGCTGATTTCCTTCGGCCGACTCCGAGCCGTTCGAGGAGCTTCTTGCCAATTTTTTCGCCGGCCATGGCCTCCGTGAGCATTTCCTACGAGGGACGGACTTGCTGGCCGCTGCCGAACGATTGTGCGGGGAAGTTGGCGGTTGCATTTTGGGCGTTCGTTGAGGGCTGGACGGGAAATGCACGTGGCTGACCCTTTCGCCAATAGAAATTCAAAGTGTCAGCAGGTTCTCGACGGAAATCTTGAACTGAAGAGGCGGGATGGGCATCTGAGGAGATGCCAACGGCATATTTTCGACGCGAATACCCATCAGTGAAGGAGTAACTAATTAGTGTTTTTGGTGTTGACTTTGGTATTGAAACCACGGAGGTAATCACTGACATGTCTTGTTCGCCAAGATCCTCTCAAGCCGCAGCCTGCTGGGAATGTTAATCTCAACCAGGTAAATTCTGCCCTCGGGACAAGAGAGACCAGGCGACGGTGGCTGGAGAGACACGCGCTTCGTCGGTTTTGGGACCAGAGTGATCTAGGCCGACGACTTGAGAAACCAACCACTGAACACTTTCGTGTATATCTCCCGGGCTCTCGAGATGCGTACCCCAACATCTCGCGAACGTCGTCCTGCACCGACTTCGCCCGGCATCGCTTGGATCCGGTAGTGCCGAACATTATCCCGTTTCAGCCTGAGTTGCCGACTGAACCGAGTTCTGACTTGAGAATTGCTTGACTTTAGTGTTTACTTTGGCGCGGGGCAACGATGCATTTTTGGTTTATGTAAGCAGATTTAGGATTACATAATACGCACATGGATGTGCGCCTAGTGGGAGCCTACCGTATAGGTAGTACTCAACCCTCGCTTAACCCCTAGCTGTTATGTATTCTATATGATGAACTACAGCCGGAGATGGAGAACAAAGACCACTAACGTCAGATAAGTCTATACCCGTTTGCCTGGGTGTCCCTGGACTGATGTCGACGTCCGAAGATGAACTTCCATCCAAGTCACGGTTTCGCTTATTTTTCTTTCTCCACATGGACTCCCTTGGTGAGCCGCCAGCGCCCCTCTCCGTGTGGCGGGCACCACCCAAGGTCTGGTCAGCTCGCACATACAAGATCGATATTGCTACAACGAGAGCAATAGCTAGATGACAGGAATGGGCGTGCAACCAGACCTTAAGTACTGGAGCAGAGGCCTATGCGTAAGCATGACCATAGACGTATGATCAGACCCCATGACGTATGCATAACCGCAAGCATATGACATGACCATGAGAACAGGAACGGGGAATTCCGTGACACTCCGCCAGGCCGCCTCCTAGATTGCTGAAGGGGAGGATCCGAGCCAGGGTCCGGATCAATTACACTCCCATCAACGACACCCCTCCGTTGCAATGTACACCTCCCCCGGGGTTTTAAAGGTTAGCGTGATACAAGCCCCACCGGCTTGCCAAAAGAAGCAGCCATTACGTTATTTAGCTCGATAGAAATCTCTGCCATTCTACAAAGTCACTTCCGTAGCATTTTGTGTCGTAAAGTACCTTCCAACAACGCTTGCATTTTTCCAGTCGTACTATTTAATATGGACATGCCTTAGATGGATATTCGCGCTCTGATCAACCATACAAGCATCCATAACTCGCCTGCCGCGGAGCGGTTTTACCGCTTGCAGTGTCAGCGAATCCGGCATCCGCAACTCA